AACAAGTCAGTAAAATACAATTTAATAAATTTTAGACCTAATAAATTTAGGTATGTAAGAAATTTAAAACTGGAAATCACAAAAAATCAAATTACAGAAACGCATGAGTTTTGGATCCCGCGGAGCGCGTGTAATGGGACTTTTGTCGGGAGAATTCTAGAACTTAGAAGAAACATACACACTTTAAAGTTTGTATACACATTCAGAAGACATGAGATTTGGGTTTGCTTAATTTTTAGACAAAAAAACTAAAAATCGTCAATTTTAGGCAACTTTTCTCAAAAACCGTGTTTTTTGGTCGTCACTTAATGAACAGTGGTCAAAAAAATAGATAAAATATTTTTGCAGAATTTTCCGTAATGTAATCGTATTCTAGACATAATAGAGTATTCAAAAAAAAAAGTTTTAAGTCATTGGGTGCATTTTTGGTATTTTTGTGCCACTTCAAACTTACGAAAAAAAATTTAGTTTTTTTTTAGGGAAAAAATTTGTTAAATTGTTTGATATCTTGGCCAATTATAATATGATTTTGGTAAAATTCACACACGTATAAGATTTCATATTTAAGAGTAAGCTCTGTAAGTGGCATTAAATAAATTTAAATAGTTTGGCCGTTATAGGCAAACAATGAAAGTAGGCTTGCGGTACACTTTGCCCTTCCGCCATATGCCCAATTTTGGGATTTCTCTTGCCCCCTTCTTAAAATCAATAGTCACATCCCTTAAGTTCAAAACGAATTTTTGTTTCTTCAAATATCTTAATTTTTACCAAAGTTATGAAGAATTTAGTGTTTAAACATTTAACAAATTCAATTTTTCGACCTTCGCCGCCTCAAAATACTAAACAAATTTCAATCGTCCATACCGCGAGAACGGTGCATCCGATAAAAATTTCTTAAGATACATAAAAATTGACATTTTTTCCAAGCTTTCAATTGTCGTAAACTGCGTTTAAAAAATAATGATTTATTTGCGACATGCGCATGCGCAAAATTGAAAAATTGACAAAATCCAAAATTTCGGCACTTTCGAAAAACTGCTACATTTTGTTTTGCCATATTTCAAAAAGATCACCTCAAAATACATAGAATCCATTTTGTTTCATCTAATTACAATTTAATGTAAGCTCAAAACCGAATTTAATTCGATTATTACAAATGTGCTCAACATTTTAACTGAATGTTCTCCTACCTACATTTGATAGTGACTAGTAGTACCAAGTGAGAAGCATAAATAAAAATAAGTCAAGTTGCAGCTTTGTACGACCAGTAAGTAACGTCACAATCTGTGGATGAAATAAAAATATTAAAAATAAAAGAACAACCTGTCGGTTACAATGTTTTCTTATTTTCAGTAATCAGTTAAGTCGAGTTGGAAGGAACTATTTACAACCCACCATTTAAGACGTTATAAATATTAAACGTTTACCCGACACAGCTATTAAACGTAATAAAGTCAGTTCTATATATAAATTTAAATGTTCAAAATGTAACCAATTGGCACTAAAAGTAATACAACTGTACATAAAAAAACAGTAGGTAGAACACAATGTTTGACCGGCAACCCTGTAATTTATCGGGTATAGTTCCTGCTAGATAATTCAAAATGGCATCCGGTAGTAGAAGGAACTTTTATCCAGTCATTTTTAATAGTTGGATGAGTAGTTAGTTAAAGTTTCTAAAGCACTTTGGTTATTTTTGAGGTTATTCTGAGAAATTTAAGAAACAAAAACTACTTTTGAGAAGTTAAACATTTACAGAAAATTGAAGCATACACTCATCACGGTTGCATCAGAAGGAAGGCAAGTGAAAAGAAAAGTTGTTCTGGCTTAGCTGCTGAGGGTACCAAGTTACAGAAGCAAGGCGGTTACTTTCGATTACAGCTGACGCTATTTCTAACCATTTGACAGGTTTGGCGTTTATTAAAATATTGTAGAAATCCCGCAATTTCTACAGATACTGTCCATATCCCATTTTGAAACCGTAAAAATAAACGCCCTGTCCATATTTTCCTTTTACTCGTTTCCTTTGTACTTGGTATTGGTTTGAATAATGAAAAAGGGGCCAACGGCTAAAATAGTATTTTTCGGGAAAATAACACTCGACGATTTTACATACACTAAGTTTGGAAACAAATCGTGTTTTCTAAAAAAAAATTATTCGGTTCGTTTGTACGCGCTTCGTCAGATCGGCTGGTTTAGAATAAATTAATCTATTGAATACCCACCTTGAGGATTTATATCTAGGTAAATACTTAAAATTATTACTTTGTGGATACTAATGTAAACGTTTATATTGTAGTGTTCCGGTAGTTATAACAAACAAATAAACTCACCTTAGTTCATGTCCAGCCTCAGCCCGTACCAAATTTGTTTGAACTGATCCACTGAACTTGGTACCACCTTCGCCGACCACCCGAAGCATTTCAGAGCCAACTAGGACTTCTCTTTTGTCGGCTGAAAACAGTAACGATCCCCGATCGTCTGTTATTTTGAAATTATTTGTTAGGCACTCTAATTTTTCATTTCCTGAAACAAACAAGATATATGTTTTTACTATTACTAATTAAATATTTAAGGAAAATTTTTTATTTATTTTATTTTTAGGAATATCGAAAAATGTAATAATATCTATTGTGTGAATACGTTCATAAAATAAAATATATAAAATTTAACTAAACTACTAAATTATTTTTAACATATGAAGCGTGATAAAAAAAAATATGTTTCTATGTTGGCTATGACTGACAAAAACCGAGATGTCACGTCCGTGATAATTATGAACATCTCCGGAGTAAATCCAAACTGCCATTTAAAAGGAAAAAAAGAATAATTATACGTTGAGACGGGCGGAGGTAAACATGCCACAAAATATACCTGTCTAGAAAAGAGTACCGGTAAACGTGCCACCGATCAAAGGTTTCTTTAAAAACACACAGGTATTTGTGCCACCAACAGTTGTGTTACGATTATGAAATGCAATAAATTAAACTGTATTAACATTTTAACGTTCAACTTATTAAAACTATTTTGTCTCTTAAGGAATCCCTACACGCTATAAATAAAAAATATTTATTATCTTAAGGAGGTCCTACACGCTACGATTTTTATTATACTATACAGTGTACATTCCATCGATTCAGTCCAAAACTCAATGAGAAGTGCTCGATCTGACTCACATCTGGCCTCTCCTCTTTTGTCCTCTTTTATCTAATGTAAAGATTTAGAGTGAAATGAGCTGATTAAATCTTGTGGTTGTTTTCCTTAGAGCGTCTATTGTGTTGGTCGAGTCTGTGCAGATTTGTATGTTTTGTGTTCTGTAAGTGTCTATGTTGTTTTCGATGTATTTTACTGTTTTTACTACTGCCAGCATTTCGAGTGTGTTTATGTCTTTGTCCGTATCTACTTTTGTCTTGATGTCTGTGTGGATGTGGTCATTTTGTATTGTTGTCGCGATTGTTATTGAGTTTCCTCTAATGCTGGCGTTCGTGTGTATCAGTGTGTCTATGGTGTGGCCGTTGTCTCCTGTTTGTAAGTGTCTGTATGCCGGATGGGCCTTGTCTATGGTTTTGATTCTGTTTTAGTCTATTTCGTCGTGTAGTGTCGTGTATGTAAAGTGGCTAGCTCCTGCGTCTGCTGCCAGTGGTGTGACTCCTGCTAGTATTGGTAGGGTTATGTTGGATGTCGTCCTGTAAGCTTTTGTAATACGTAGCAGGAATGGTCTTTCTGTCGCGTGTAAGTGTCTGGTTATTCTAGTGTCTTTGTATCTTTGTCCCCACACCTCCGATCCATATAAGACCATGGGTTTTATCCCATGCTCATACATGTATCGGAGAATGTCCGGTCTGCGTCCCCAATTTCGTCCTGTTATAGCGTAAAGTTTGTTCGCAATTTCTGTCGTTTTTTGTCTTGTCCGTTTTATATGTTCTATGTATGTCATTTTTGTGTCGATTGTGAGTCCCACATATGTTATGTGTTCCTTTAATTCTAGATTTTGTGTCCCGTTTTTAAGTCTTAGTGGTCTTGTTTTGTTATTGTGTGGTATAAACATTATTTCTGTCTTGGTCGTATTGTATGTTAGTTTATTTTGTGTGGCTTAGCCTACGCATTTTTTCCATGTCGCTTGCCATTTAGTTTCTAACTGTCTCAATGTTGTCCCCCCTAAAATGATGATTTGATCGTCTGCGTAGGCTTGGTATAGGTTGATGTCTGTCGTTATTGTCTCTGTCGTGTCGAACCAGTCTTCTATAATAGCCATAATATGGGACCTAGACTGGATCCTTGAGGGCAACCTCTATCTGTTTTGTTCGTTATGTCCTCTGTTCGTATTTGTCTTTCTGTTTGTCAGAAAGTTTATACGTGTTGTTGCCAGTTTGTGTGGTATGTTTCATCTCTGTAGCATTTCTGCGATTTTTGGCGTCCAGGCTGTGTTACAAGCGTTCTCAAGGTTAAGTGTGTTTGCCAGTGTGTGTCTTTTGTCTTTTATGTTATTTTTAATTTTATTTGTCACGTTTGTAATGGCGTCTACTGTAGTTCTGCCTCCTCTAAAGCCGTATTGTCTGTCGTTTAGTCCGTTTGTCGTTTCTAGGTTGTATGTTAGTCGTCTTGCCAGTATTTTGTCGAGTAGTTTCCCCATAGGTGATAGAAGGCAGATTGGTCTTCATCCCCCGTCTTTCTTTTTTAGCCACACCATGTCGTCTTCCTTCCAGGTCTTAGGGAATGTTGCGTTTATCCAACAATTATTGTATAGGTTGTGTAGTATGTCCGATTTTATGTCGTTAATTTGTTCTAGTCCCTCTTTGTTTATTCCGTCTATTGCTGTCGCTTTGTTTGTTTTCATGTCTTTTAATGTGTTTGTAATTTCTGTTTTTGTAATTTCTGGCTCTGGCTCGTGGTTTTCGAAATTGTACATGTTTAGTCTGAGTGTCTGTTGTTCCTGTGTGTCTTCGTCTGCGTCATCTGTGGGGAAGTATTTATTATGTAGATATTTTATTGTATCTGTTCTGTCTTTTGTCCATGTACCGTCTTCTGTCTTAATTGTAGCAAAGATATTTGTATTGCTTTTGTTGTTCTTAATAATTTTGTAAGCTACTCCCCATGGGTCATTGTTTTTGAGTATTTTTCGCAGTAATTGTCGTTTACAGTCTTTAATTTTTGTCTTGTAGCTCCGCCTTTGTCTGATGTAAGCGTCGTGTTTAATCTGTCTTAGTTGTGCGTTTTGCTCTGTCTGGTATCGTTTGTTTTCGCGCTTTGTCTTGCTTGGTCTAGATCTGTTGTCCACCATCTTTATATGGCTTTGCTTTTTGTTGTGTTATTGCTGTTGTTGGTGTTATTTACAAGGTATTTTTGTATTTTTGATTGTGTGAGTTTTGCAAAGTCATGTGTTTGTGTTTGTCCAGTCTGTGTTGTCTTTGTCTCTTTGGAGTTTGTTGTGATCGATCTTGTGTATGTTGATTTTTGTTTTGTTTGTTTTGTTTGTTTTTGTATTGTGGTTGTTAATTTTGTCTGAATTGAAAGTAATGTATTGGTGGTCCCTTGGTGTGTCTTCCTTTGATACGTCCCAGTCTTGTATGTCTATTTGTCGTGTTATTGTGAGGTCTACCTAGCTTTTCCCTCGGTTTGAATTGAATGTCTGTGGGCTGTCGTGTGTGTTGTTGATCGTCATGTCGTGTTGTATTGCCCAAGTCATGATGTCTTCCCCCTCTTAAGTCGGTCGTTGTGCCTCCCCAGCTGGCGTTCGTTTTTAGCATTCATGTCCCCCCTAAAATGATTTTTATTCTAGTGTTTTCTATGTTGTTTTGTGTCTGTTTAGTCTGTTGTTTGTGTCTCCACCTGGTTCGTCGTATATGTTGATAATTCTTGTTTTCGTCCTTTTTGTGTTAATTGTGATTGTTGTTGTGTTTGTGTCTATCATGTGTGTATGTGTGATGGTTTTGTCCGTCCATTTTTTGTGTAGTAAGATCGGAGCTTTGTTGGTTTTGTTTATTATGTCGTAGTCGAGTTGTCCGGTAAGTGTGTGTGCGGGTTCTTGTATTAATGCAATGTCTGTGTCGTTTTCTATCATTTTGCGGATTAGTTGCTCGGCCGCTTGAATACCGCGACCCATATTAAATTGTATAAAATTCATTTTTGGAACCCTTTTTGTATTGTCTTGTCTGTCTGTTTTTGTGTGTTTGTTTGTGTGTGTTTGTTTGTGTGTGTTTGTTTTTGTGTGTTTGTTTGTGTGTGTGTGTTTGTTTGTGTGTGTTTGTTTGTGTGTGTTTGTTTGTGTGTGTTGTGTGTGTGTGTGTGTGTGTGTGTGTGTGTGTGTGTGTGTGTGTGTGTGTGTGTGTGTGTGTGTGTGTGTGTGTGTGTGTGTGTGTGTGTGTGTGTGTGTGTGTGTGTGTGTGTTGTTTAGCCTGTTTGTGGGTTGCTATTTGTGTGTCCTGTTAGTTGTAAGATGTTTGTACCCGTGCCTCGTCTAGTTTTCTCTCGTATATTGGGCAGTTTGTGTCTCTGGCTTGATGTCTTCTAGGTATTAGTCTGAGTCTCTCGCAGTTCACACAGTTGTATTTGTCCGTATCTTTGTTGCATGTATTACCGTCGTGTTCGTCTCTGCATTTGCAACAAGTCGCTGTCTGTTCCCTACAGTGCTTCGATACGTGGCCGTATCGACAGCATCTGAAGCATAGGTCTAGCTGTGTGGCATCGTTGATGTAAATAGTCTGAAAGTCTAGGTATATCTTTTCCGTCTTTAGTAAGTATTTTATAATGTCCGTCGGTCCTCTTACGTAGGCGTTTTCTTTATATGGATTCCTGCAAGGTCTCGTCGATACTACTGTCAAGAGTTTTAGCCTGTCTCCAAAATTGTCATTTAAATCGTCATTCTCTAGTTTGAGGCCGTCCGTCAGTTCGTCATGTGTTGGTCCCTTTCTGATTCCGGTCAAAATAATTGTCGGTTCGTTATGTCTTGTCCCGTCTTTTATGTCTAGTTTTGCGGATGTCTGTGTTCGTCTTATTATGTCGTCTTGTTTGTCCTTTGTTAGCGATGTTAGTACTATGGCTGTCCGTGTATGTCTTATTTGGGTTCCTTCAATGTCTTTGGATTTAATAAGTTTTTCAATTCTGTTAATGTGTCGCCTTGTTTTCCTTCTTTTAGTTTTATTACCGTATCGAATTTCTTATACGGTTCCAGTGTCGTCCATGTCTTTTTCTCTTTATTAGGTTCAGGGTTTGCGTTCGTGGGTTTTTTCGCCAATTGGGCGTAGGTTCTTTGCCCTAAGGCCGGAAAACCAGTCGATGTTGTATTTGTTGGTGTCAGGGAGTAGCATTTGTTGTTGCCGCTGTCAAAGTCGTGTTACCTGCTAGTGAGTTGTCTTTTAGTGCCTTTATGATTTCTTTCTGTACGATTTTTAATTTGTTGTCTATGTCTGTGTCTATGTTTGTCATTTTTGTCTTTTGTATGTGTGATCTGTTCTGTTTTAGTTCGTAGTTTTCCTTTTGTAAAGTGTTAATTTCATTTTCCTGCACTAGGAGTAGTGTCAGTATGTCAGTGTACATGTTCGAAATATCGTCTACCGCTATTAGTACCGTCTTTTGTTCCTTTATTGAGAAGGCTATTTTTCCTTTTCCCTAGAGTGTTTTTCTTGTAACTGCGTCTTTGATTTGTTGTTTGATCTTTTTCATGTTGTTTGCCGTGTTGTGTCTTTGTCGGGTTTTTTAGACTCTCCACTCACCTGGGATTTTGTGGCACTTACTCTCGCACTATTTACCGCACTTTTAGTTTTTTCCCGCGCCTCTTCGTCTTATTATTTTCTTACCAGATTCTTTACGCTCTTCCTCGTTTTTGTATTTTCTCTTCTTCCAATTTTTGCTTTCTTTATTCTTCCAGTTTCTGTTTTTTCTCCTCTTCCAGTCGTGTTTTCTCTTCATCGTCGGGTGTTGGTTCCTTAGGTTTATCTGATTTTCCCCGTATTTTTGCTATGGTCATCTACCATTATTTTAAGGTCTCTCTTTTTGGATTTCTCTGAAACCTCTTTCGTTTACTGCTGGCCGTTTCAGCAAAATCGATTTCGTCGTCTTTTTCTGGTGATTCTGAGGCCAGAGAGTGCCTTCTTGCTAGCTCTGGGGATCTACTGACTGATCGTTTTCTTGTTAATTTCCCTGTCAGTTCGATTTCTAGTTCAGTACTTATGATGGACTTGGATAGGTTTTTCATGTTGTGTTCCAATTCTTCATTAGACATGTCCTCTGCCATGTTTGTGTAGCGACCGAACAATTAGAAAGTATGTAGAAAGTAGATTTCTTATAAAAAAAGGCTGATTCTTGGCGCGCAAGAATTAGCCTTATAAACTCGTTTGGGCCTCTCGATTACCTACCGCGGAACCCCGAGAAAGGACGGCGGGTGTCACGAGAAACTTTCACTGGTTTTCCAACTTTTGTTTTTGGGTGTCAGTCATATTTTTGACTAATATAGTTCAAATAGATAACAAATACTCCGGAAAAGACCGGGAAGTACACTGCGCACGCGTAACTATGTCCGGTTAAGATTCTAGTAGCAATGCGCGGAGATTTCACTGTTTTCTTACGTCTACGCGCAGGTTTGGGGCCCTTATCTACGTTGACGTACGAACACTACAAAATATTCGCGACTGCGCGTCGGAAAACAATTTGGTACCGGAGCTCTGGGGCTCTGTTACTTCACTGGCACTTACGTTTGAATTTATATTCCAATCAAATAGACCTTTAAATCAAAATTTTGGAGGAAATACAGGAATTTTTGATATAAGTCACTTAAGATTATTTGAAAACGATATGTAAAAAAATTTGGTTTTTCAGACACCGGCAAATGTCAAAAAACAAAAAATAAAGTGTTTTTTTCAGGTTATTTAAAAACGGTAGGTGCTATAAAAAAAGTTATTCATAAAAATTGTAAAGCATAAAGATTTACATAAAAATGGTATTTGACATTTTTTGTTATTATTAAAACTGACAGAGTTAGGGTGGTTAGAAATTAAGAGGAGATATACTTGGAAAAATCACAGCGAGCTTAAAATTTAATGACTTTCTAGTTTCTTTTTATTATTTACTCAGAAAATTATCAATTTCTTTTAAGAAATTTTTTTAAAATAAAAATAAATAAAATGACAAATATTAAAAAAAATTAAATAAAAATAGGTAAATTAATAAAATAGAAATTATTAAAAAATAAAATTCAACAAAAATAAATAAAAATAGAAAGATAAATGTAAAAGAAAATAAAATAAATAAAAATAAATAAAAATAAATAAAAATAAATAAAAATAAATAAAAATAAATAAAAATAAATAAAAATAAATAAAAATAAAAATTAAAATAAAAAATAAATAAATAAAAACGAATAAAATAAAAAAAAATATTTATTTTCATTTATTTGTATTTATTTTTATTTATTTTTATTTATTTTTATTTATTTTTATTTATTTTTATTTATTTTTATTTTTATTTATTTTTATTTATTTTTATTTATTTTTATTTATTTTTATTTATTTTTATTTATTTTTATTTATTTTTATTTATTTTTATTTATTTTTATTTATTTTTATTTATTTTTATTTATTTTTATTTATTTTTATTTATTTTTATTTATTTTTATTTATTTTTATTTATTTTTATTTATTTTTATTTATTTTTATTTATTTTTATTTATTTTTATTTATTTTTGTTTATTTTTATTTATTTTTATTTATTTTTATTTATTTTTATTTATTTTTATTTATTTTTATTTATTTTTATTTATTTTTATTTATTTTTATTTATTTTTATTTATTTTTATTTATTTTTATTTATTTTTATTTATTTTTATTTATTTTTATTTATTTTTATTTATTTTTATTTATTTTTATTTATTTTTATTTATTTTTATTTATTTTTATTTATTTTTATTTATTTTTATTTATTTTTATTTATTTTTATTTATTTTTATTTATTTTTATTTATTTTTATTTATTTTTATTTATTTTTATTTATTTTTATTTATTTTTATTTATTTTTATTTATTTTTATTTATTTTTATTTATTTTTATTTATTTTTATTTATTTTTATTTATTTTTATTTATTTTTATTTATTTTTATTTATTTTTATTTATTTTTATTTATTTTTATTTATTTTTATTTATTTTTATTTATTTTTATTTATTTTTATTTATTTTTATTTATTTTTATTTATTTTTATTTATTTTTATTTATTTTTATTTATTATTATTTATTTTTATTTATTTTTATTTATTTTTATTTATTTTTATTTATTTTTATTTATTTTTATTTATTTTTATTTATTTTTATTTATTTTATTTATTTTTATTTATTTTTATTTATTTTTATTTATTTTTATTTATTTTTATTTATTTTTATTTATTTTTATTTATTTTTATTTATTTTTATTTATTTTTATTTATTTTTATTTATTTTTATTTATTTTTATTTATTTTTATTTATTTTTATTTATTTTTATTTATTTTTATTTATTTTTATTTATTTTTATTTATTTTTATTTATTTTTATTTATTTTTATTTATTTTTTTTGTTTTTTATTTTTTTAATTTTTATTTTTTGTTTATATTTTTTAGTTCTTTTTTATTTGTTTTTATTTTTATTTATTTAATGAAAATTCAAGTGGAGACCAGACTGTCGGGATGTCGTTTTTATTAGTTTTCTCTTCATATTTTTCATGTCAGTCAAGCTAATAAATTTATTTTACCATAAAAATTTAAATTGTTATAACTTAAAAAAAAATAATTTTGTTAAAAGAGTAAATAATAAAAAGAAACTACAAAATCATTGAATTTTTTATCTGGCTATGATTTTTTCAAGTCATATATATCTCTTCTTAATTTCTAACCACCCTAACTTTGTCAGTTTTAATAATAGAAAAAAATGTGAAATATCATTTTTATGTAAAACTTTATCCTTTACAATTTTTATAAGGAACTTTTTTTTCTAGCACCTACCGTTTTTAAATAACCTTAAAAAAACACTTTATTTGCTTGTTTTTTGACATTTGCCGGTGCCTGAAAAACAATTTTTTTTTACATATCGTTTTTAAATACTCTAAAGTGACAGATCAAAAATTCCTGTATTTCCGTCAAAATTTTGATTTAAAGGTCTATTTGATTGGACTATTAACCTCACTTTGTTAATAGAATTTTATGTATACACATACACGTCTGCTCCAGCCTAGGTCCAAAGTAGAAGTGGCTATATGGCTTGCATGCCAAAAGTCACAGTTCTGATCTAAAATTAAGATTTAATCAGCCCATTTCACTTTTCATCTTCACATTAGAGAAAAGAGGAGAGGCCAGATGTGAGTTAGATCAAACACTTTACGGTAAGGTATGGACAGACTTGATGGACTGTATAGTTAAAATCTTACAAAAAATGTAGCGTGTAGGGTCATAGTTTGTCATAAACATAAGGGTTTTTTTCAATTTGAGACTTTTCCTATAACAAATTCAAAGCGGCATCATTGAAGCTGAAAACACTACCTCTTCTTTATCTATAGCCGAACCAAGCCACATTCAAACCACAGTTACATTAAACCATATTAGCAAGACACTTAATTCACCCACGACATGGAAAACGTATGGAATTTAATTTAAAGCTGCATAAACAGGCAGCAACCGTTTTACATTTACTTCTTCAAGAAGAACTAAGTTATTCATCTTTCGTCCAAGATTTGGAAACAAGGTTTGGCCAGCAGCATATAAAACAGGTATTCTAAAGCCAGCTAATGGTTTCGTGGTCAGAAACCTAATGAAAGTCTACAGAAATTCAAGGCCGATATAAATAGATTGCTGCATCTGCCTCATTCACAGGCGCCCAAGGATTTTCTAGAACAAATTGGCACACAGGCATTCATTGATAAATTGCAAGATGTGGAAATGCAGCAGAATTTTTGGCTGCAACACCGCAAGATGCTGAGTGAGACACTGATTTCAGCCTAGCAATATGAAGCAGCAAAAATTATATCTAGATCTTTTCGTGCAAATCAGAGAGAAAATAGATTCCAGAACATTGAAGAGGCCACTACTAATATTATCCTTTAAACTACTTTTACACAAATCTTAAACATCCTGCAAAATATGCAACAAAATTAAAGCAGAAGACGCTTCTATTAAAAAAAAATCGGACACCATTAAAACACCTGTAGAAGCGGAGCTCGTTCTATAAATCTAGAATCAGGGAATGGACACAGAAATTCACCTAAAACAACTTTCCGAAGTCCGTCATGAAGTCAAACAAGAAATAATATAAGCATATATATCTCCTGGAGAAGCCGGTCGCCCCCACCTAGCCACTACGTAACAGGTGTCGGCTTTAACAGAGGGTCCCAAAATTCACACCTACACCTTAAAAAAAACAAAATTTATTGGTCAATGGGTATATCGACAACCAAAAAGCCACCTACGTCATTGATACTGGTGCAACCAAGTATTTTGTTCGAACAGGGATCCTGCATCAAATAACTACGACCAACTTAAAAAAGCTTAAAATAGCTATTGGGCACATTACTCCTGTTCTAGGCAACCATACAGTTTAATATTACCCTGATAGAACACTTATGTCTGGTGGACGATATTAAGGATTAGTGTAACATTGACATGGATATTATGCAAAATTAGTTTATAATCGACCTTCAAAACAAGATCTTGGTAATTGGAAACGAGGAAATTGTCCTAAATTCAGAGGAAAAGACTCCGATAAAGGTTCTAGTGGAAGAAGATATAGAAGTACCCCAAAATTCTGAAGCTGTTGTCTCGGCGAGACTAAGTGGAAATCCACACGGCTTACATGTGTGCATTGTGAAAACTAAAGAAAATGTGAGTGAAGCAATTCTGGTAGCTAGATGTCTCAAAGTAAGATTTCAGTAAGGGTTTGAATTTATCGAAAGGAC